ATTTTTCAACATTGACAATCCGTATTTTGAATTTGTTGTTTTTTTTGGAAATAGAATTCCAGTCATTGAAAGTATGTGTTACTATAAAAGTAAACATTTTTCGAACAATTAAAAAGCTGTTTTCATACATTTTCGCGGTTTTCCATTGACACGCAAGCAAATAAGGCCAATGGATTATGTCAAATGTACAAAAAAAAGAACAAAAACAAAAATGTTTTCACAGCTCAATCGATTTGTCGAGGATAATCTGTATATGTGTCTCTCATATAGACGATGGCATAAAACTAACAAGCAAGGAAAAGTGTGAAAAATTCGTAAATTTTATAAAAGCGTTCTGTTGGATGCAACAAGCTTTGTTGCTGTCAATTGAAAACGTGCCAACAATTTGCTACGGCGATTAATCGTACTTTGCACCCCAAAAATACTATAAAAGGCATTTCGAATACATTTCAACGAGTACCACCAGAAAGCGGCTTCTTGTTCCCAAACAACCAAGAAAACCTGCATGTTTCAGTACAGAACATGTCCCTTGTAACTGTGGGTCGGCTGCCTTCTATGTGGTACTAAATAGCGACCATACAAAACGAATGTCTTATTTCCGTAAGAACGGGTTTCCCAACGCATTAACTATACGTTACACTATGTGTATGACATAAAAGCCATCAGACACATGCAATGCCTGTTACCACACATGTACTAATCTAGCGTAGAGGGTGGTTATTTGGAGTTTCTGCGGTGTAGAGTGCCGCAACAACCAAGGACTGATGTTTTGGTATTGACTTACGGATTAATATTTTTGCCTTAGCTCTTTACTATCACATATAAAAGCTAGAAAATCATTTTCGCAAAATTTTTCGAAATATCAAAAAATAACATTGTCATTCCATTTTAAGATAAACTGAAAAATTAAATTACACAAACGAACCTAAAATGAAATCCTGGAACTTTTTGAAAACTTTCTGTAAAACAAATGTTGAATTCAGCTGAAGTTTATTTAGAATGGTGGAATAGATTGTAATTACCATTCCCATCGGATCTTTGTACTGCAACTGTTAATTTCAATTACAATATTCGAGTGTACTGGAAGAGACACCACATTTTGCGTCCTCCAAAACATACAGAAACTAAAAGTCAATGGGTTTTGTATTTAAAACACATGCTTAGAGTTGAAAATCGCGCTCAAGAACCCAACATTTAGAAAATTGGAGGGTACCGTTATATAGGACTACAAGCAAAAATGGACCCATATTTATAATTTTTTGTGGGATGTTTTGGTACCCAATAAAGCCCCAAATTGCAATGAATTTGGTTGAAAACCGTACACCAAAATATCTAATATTGGTGGGACTGTTATATGGCGTCTACCAAAAATAGTGGACTGATATTTATAATTTTTAGTGGACAAATTTCGTACCTACCTGTTATTAATGATTTATATGTACAATGATTTATATTTACAAGAAAGGGAAAACGCAGATTTCCACAGTAGAAACATTATATAATTCTTTCTCAGATATTTTCATTAGTTTTCTTAAACACAACAAACGGTTGAAATCAAATAGGGTAGTGTGTTAAAAAAATTTTCGACACCGCGATTAAAGTTTTAAAGGAATTATTATTACAATGTTTTTGTATGTTTTTGCAGAATACATTAATAACAATTAATTCAGTACACATTTTATACTCTTTAAAGTTATTAATAGGTAAAAGTAAGATAAAACCATGCTCACTATAGGCGAACACTATTATAGTAAACACTGCATATACTGAACAACATTTTTATACCCTTCACTACACTGTGGTACAGGGTATTATGTCTTTGTGTACATGTATGTAACAGGCAAAAAGAAACGAGACTTCCTTTTGAGAATATGCATAGAATCACGTTCTGAGTCGATTTAAGCATGTCCGCCTGTCCGTCTGTTGGTGTTAAATTGTAAACAAAGTACAGGCCGCATTTATAAACCGATTTGGATAAAATTTGGCACAGCTCATTTGTTTGGCCCAAGGACGAACCCTATTGAAATTGGGAAAAAATCGGATCAGTTTTAGATATAGCTCCCATATATATGTTCGTCCGATTTAAGGTAAATGGTGCACCAAAGACCCTATATCTCTGTCGATTTGCACGATATTTTGTATAACGTACTGAATTGAGCCTAGAATGATGTATACCAAGTTTCGTGAAAATCGATCCAGATTTAGATAGAGCTCCCATATATAGTTTCGTCCGATTTAAGGTAAATGGTGCACCAAAGACCCTATATCTCTGTCGATTTGCACGAAATTTTGTATAACGTACTGAATTGAGGCTAGAATGATGAATACCAAGTTTCGTGAAAATCGGTCCAGATTTAAATATAGCTCCCATATATATTTTCGTCCGATTTAACGATTGCACGAAATTTGGAATAACGTACTGAATTGAGCCTAGAATGATGTCTGCCAAGTTTCGTGAAATTCGGTCAAGATTTAGATATAGCTCCCATATATATTATCGTCCAATTTCATGTAAATGGTGCACCAAAGTCCCTATATATCCTTCGATTTGCACGAAATTTGGCATAACGTACTGAATTAAGCCTAGAGTGATGTCTGCCAAGTTTCGTGAAAATCGGTCAAAATTCAGATATGGCTCCCATATATATTTTCGTCCGATTTAATGTAAATAATGCACCAAAGTCCAGATATATCCTTCGATTTGGATTTCGTGAAAATCGGTTGAGATTTAGATATAGATCCCTTATATTATACATTGGTTTTTAGGGACCAATATATCGTTGATAGGAACAAAACGTACTGAAATTTGTATAACCTAACCTGTGACAAGTTTCTTTGAAATCGGTTCATATTTGGATATATATTTTCGCCCGATTTTAAGTAAATTGGGCATCAAACTTCTCATGTTAGTCAGATTGACATCAAATTTTGCACTACGTACAAAATTGAGCATATAATTACGTAGTTTCGTTTCCTAGAAGTACAGACATAGCCCAACGGATGAACTATTGATATTTGTTTGAAGTCGATTTACATACTTTTGTCCCATTGTAACAAACGAATGACATGTTTATGTAGATTCACATTTAGATAAATAACACATATTTTATTTCATCCAATTTCATGTTAATAGTCCTGTTTAATATACCCATAGTGGTGAAGGGTATCATATAGTCGGCCCCGTCCGACTTTACTACTTTCCTTACTGGTTTTCATATGTATTTTTTTTTTTATTTTTAATCATTGCTGAAAAAAGGAATTTTTTGATGGTAAAGTAAAATTTTGATTAAATTCCACTTTTTAGATTTTTTTTCTTATAATCTTTCCTTCGACAACCTATTTGCGGTTTACGAGTCACGTTATTTAGTTTGAAATCAAAATTCGTATGTATTTCTTTTTTCGTGGAAAAGTTATATCTTCCTACGTCATTCGGTCCATCTTGACAATTGATGCAAAATAACCTAATTTCCTATATAATTTTATTTTTCAGTTGTCAAAAGATGGCTTATGTATAAAAAAAAACACATTTCTTTTATTATAGTCAACTATGTAAATTTTGAATCGCTACACATACGTATTAACAAATATTATATATTAGATAAACAGAACACACCACCGTTAATACTCTCCATGTTTTATTTGTATGTATATGCTTTGTATATAGCGGGTTTAAACGTTTATTTCTTTAATTTTATTTTCAAAGTGAAGAGTTTGGCTACGATTTCCACCGCTTTTATGACACTTTTACGCAAAAAATCTTCCAAAATTATAAAGTTTGACATGTTTTCTTTTTAATGCCATCAAAAAAAATTTTTTTTCCAAAATTGAAAAATGTGTTTTTGCCTAAAAAACTGTCGAAATTACCTATAGTGCTCTTTGTGCATATGTTTGTAACAGGCAAAAGGAAACGAGATGGACCCATCGTTCCTTTTGAAAATATGCATAGAATCTTTCTGAGATTATTTAGGCATGTCCGTCCGTCTGTCTGTTTATGTTAAACTGCAAACAATGCAAACATTTATAAGCCGATTTGGATGAAATTTTACACATCTCATTTATTTATGTCATTGACCATTGAACTCTATTGGTGAAAATCGGATCAGATTTACAGATTTATTTTTTTTTCTATCGATTTTATGTAAATTGTTCACTGAAGACCCAAAGTTTTGCCGATTGGCAAACAATATTGTACAATGTACTGTACTGCACACAAACATATAATGTTTGTCTATTTGATAATATTGAACTGTGCAATGGCAACTCGAATAGCGTGTGTTCAGTTTGCTTTAAATCGATACATAAATTTATAGGTGGCAGAATGGCATATTTAATTTCATTCAATTCCATGTCAATCTTCCATCGAAAAGGCGACGCCTGTCAGGATACATCGGTTGAATATAACCAGAGTGGTGAGGGTATCATATAGTCGGTACAGTCCGACTTTACTTCTTGCCGACTCCGCCAGTAAACTTGCCTAATATAAATAGAAAACATACCTACAAAAACAGCTTCCACTTGTTGATATCGCCAAATTATCTCGAATGTACTCATTAAATTCTGTGAGCACCACCTTACAAGGGTTGTTTGTGTAATGTTTTTGTCACAGCTGTCCAGTACTAATAGAAAAATCTCTACGCAAAATAACAAAACAATGGGTTACCATGGATGCCGGTGCCATGCATTTGTTACCCAAAATCGGTTATTATTGATAGTAAACCCCAAAGCGAAACACTGTATTATTTGAAATAATAAACGGAAAATTTAAAAAATAAAAATACTACATACACATTTATGTGTATACCAATTTTTTACTATTATTTTGTCAATTTATATTCAATCAAAGACGAAAAAAGAAAATCATTAACTGTTTTTTTAGTTATCAATAAATCGATAACCGCAACCCATCGATCAAAGAAGTAATAGCTCTTTAGCATTTAATCGCATTCCTTGTTTTTGTTCATCACAAAAAAATTCTTGCGGCAACAATCAAAGGAGGCAGCATGAAGAAACTACAGCCCGAACACAGACCATTTTGTAAACCACAACGACGACAAAAAATCATCAATCGTCCGAATCAGGATTCTCTGTGCAAAACAGACGATAAAAACCATGTTGCAGACCAAATAAAACCGCGACCACTGGTGGACTGTCAATTCTACAATTTAAAATATAAGTTCGACGAGCTGCCATTGGATCCGGTTAAAGAGTTCATTGTCGAAAAAACTTGTATGTAATTAACAAATTCGCTGAAATCCCTTTGGTCCATACATGGAGTTCAATTTTCACTCTGCTTTCAGCACACATGCAATCGGATGTTATAACAGGACGTTGTAATAAAGAACTTGACTTCCATCATTACGAAATGGACCTGGTGAAAACGGATGATGTACACGGTGATGACGGCAGCCTAAATGAGTTGGAGTTGGAGGATATTGTGATGCCAGAGAAATTTGAAATGCTTCGTGAAAAGAAAACTCATTTCTATGGATATAGCCGTGAGTAAACAAAAGCAAACCATGTTCATGGCTGTTTACAGTCTAATACACGGTGTGCACAGGTTATTATGTATTAGCCTAATTCATGGTACCAAGAGTTCCTGATAACAAGTGAAAATACACATAGGAGTCATAGTTACTTTTGAGAATGTACTTCGAATTAGTTTTTTGAGCATTTACACATGTGCGTCTCTTTGTCGATTTATTTCTGGAATCATAGTACAAATTGCATTTTATGTGAAATTCCTATTATTAGGGTAAACCCAATATTTGTTATTTTCAAGCTGTTGGGCTAATTTCCCAACAGAATTGATTCTAAATCGATATTGAGAATTCTCATTTAGGATTAATTCTCCCTAACAAACATTATCAATATTAGCCCATGTTCTGGGTGGGACCTCATATAACGGTATCCTCCAATCGTTCATTCTTTAAGGCAGGGGTTTCGACCTAATCAATTGTAATTTCGTATTTTAGGTGGATATAAAATAATCTTACTTAACCCTAAGGTCAATAACCGGGTACATTTGTACCTTTTTTCGAATAAAAATGCTGTAAAACTTTTCATAATGGAGATATTTGGATCAAATTTTGAGGATTCATTCTTGAGGTATTTTCACACATAATCGCAGAAAAAAAATATAAATATTTTTCATATATATATAATTTTTAAACTTTTTTAAAGTTATTACCTACGTAGATCAATAACCGTGGTACATTTGTACCCATCCAAAGATAGCTCTGTAACTCATTAAAAAATTGGACTATCGTGAGGTTTTTTGTTTTAAATTAGTCTATACGGATCTTATCTAGATGTAGGAACTCAAAGTTATATATACATTAAAATAATATATATTTAAATCCATGCTTAAATGATTACCTATCTAAAACAATCGTAGTAAATTCGTTATAGCTTTCGAATGGGTTAAGCTTATTTAGTTATTTTTTTATTGGGAACTTATTTAGGTGTTCCTCAACCCCTCTGCAAATGTTTGTGGCCCTAGACAACATGAGGCCATCAGGGCGACGCGTGGAAGTCAGAAACTACCCTGGTTTTCCCTTGGTATACAGGGACAAAAACAATGCTTATTGTAGGTAATTATCCAATTATTGTTCATATTGGGCCTGAAACTTTTTTTATAATCGAATTAGTCTGATCCATTGCAATCCTAAGTTGCCGTACATATATAAACTATCATAAAATAACGTTTTAATGTATTAAATAATGTTAAAAATGCTCCAATTACAATTTCTAAACTCATAAAATGTGAATAATTGGCAATAGTAATTATTTTAGTCCCTGTATACCAAGGGAAAACCAGGGTAGTTTCTGACTTCCACGAGTCGCCCTGATGACGAACTTACTATGATTTTTTAGATAGATTATCATTTAAGCATGGATTTAAATATATATTATTTTAATGAATATATATATATATATATATATATATAATTTTGAGTTCCTACATCTAGATCAGATCCGTATAGACTAATTTAAAACAAACCAGTAAGGAAAGTAGTAAAGTCGGACGGGGCCGACTCTAGGATACCCTTCACCACTATGGGTACATTAAACAGGACTATTAACATGAAATTGGATGAAATAAAATATGTGATATTTATCTAAATGTGAATCTACCTAGATTTGTCCATAAAGTGTGTAAATCGACTTCAAACAAATATAAATAGGTCATCCGGTTGACTATGTCTGTACTTCTAGAAAACGCAACTACGTAATTCTATGCTCAATTTTGTACGTTGTGCAAAATTTGATGTCAATCTGACTAACATGAGGAGTATGATGCCCAATTTGCTTGATATCGGGCGAAAAAATATATGTAAGCTATATCCACATATTAAGCGATTTCAAACAAACTTGTCACAGGTTAGGTTATACTAACTTTAGAACGTTTTGTTCCTATTGGTTCCTTGGTGCGTCAATTACATAAAATCAATCTATAATAAAATGGAGCTATATCTAAATCTGGACCGATTTTCACGAAACAAGGCAGACATCACTCTAGGCTCAATTCAGTACGTTGTGCAAAATTTCGGGCAAATCGAAAGATATATATGGATGTTGGTGCACAATTTACATGAAATCGGACGAAACTATATATGGGAGCTATATCTAAATCTGGACTGATTTTCACGAAACTTGGCAGACATAACTCTAGGCTCAATTCAGTACGTTATGCCAAATTTCGTGCAAATCGAAAGATATATATGGATTTTGGTCACAATTTACATGAAATCGGACGAAACTATATATGGTAGCTATATCTAAATCTTGACCGATTTTCACGGAGCTTGGCAGACATCATTCTAGACCTAAATGATTAGGCTGTACCAAATTTCGTGCTAATCGAAAGATATATAGGGACTTTGGGGCCCCATTTACATTAAATCGGACGAAACTATATATGTGAGCTATATCTAAATCGGGACCGATTTTCATGAAACTTGGCAGACATCATTCTAGGCCCAATTAAGTACGTTATGCCAAATTTCGTGCAAATCCAAGGATATATAGGGACTTTGGGGCACCATTTACATGAAATCGGACGAAACTATATATGGGAGCTATATCTAAATCAGGACCGATTTTCTTGAAACTGGGCAGACACCATTCTAGACTCAATTCAGTACGTTATGCCAAATTTCGTGCAAATCGAAAGATATATAGAGACTTTGGGGCACCATTTACATGAAATCGGACGAAACTATATATGGGAGCTATATCTAAATCTGGACCGATTTTCACGAAACTTGGCAGACATCACTCTAGGCTTAATTCAGTACGTTATGCCAAATTTCGTGCAAATCAAAAGATATATAGGGACTTTGGGGCACCATTTACATGAAATCGGACGAAACTATATATGGGAGCTATATCTAAATCTGGACCGATTTTCACGAAACTTGGCATACATCATTCTAGACCTAAATGATTAGGCTGTACTAAATTTCGTGCAAATCGAAAGTTATATAGGGACTGTTTACATTAAATCGGTTAAATATATATATGGGAGCTATATCTAAATCTGAACCGATTTTTCCCAATTTCAATAGGGTTCGTCCTTGGGCCAAATAAGTGACCTATGCCAAATTTCATCCAATTCGGATCATAAATGCGACCTGTACTTTGTTTACAATTTAACATGGACAGACGGACGGACGGACGGACGGACGGACAGACGGACATGCGTAAATCGACTCAGAAAGTGATTCTATGCATATTCTCAAAAGGAACCATGTGTCTATCTCGTTTCCTTTTGCCTGTTACAAACATATGGACAAAGACATAATACCCTGTACCACAGTGTGGTGAAGGGTATAAAAACCTCACAATAGTCCAATTTTTTAATGAATTACAGAACTATCTTTGGATGGGTACAAATGTACCAAGGTTATTGATCTACGTATACTTTTTTGGTTATTGACCGTAGGGTTAAAATGATCAATATTGTTCCACTTTTTAGCCTCCACGCTACCCTAATGGTGTTTTTGCTCCACCCCATGGTGTTTTTGTAGTTTGGTTGTTATTTTAATATTGGCCAAAGTTTCGGGGTAGCACTCATATGGTTGTACACCCCATAATTTAGGATCTTGGGTGGTTTGGGCACGTTTTTCAAATGAATTGGCTCTAATTGTATTTTTCAGGCTGTCAGTGGGTTGTCAAAAGTTCGTACCACAAATCAAAGAAATGGTCAAAGTTTTAGTGGGAAAAATATGCCACTGCCGCCAAGAGAAAAAAATAAAACTATGGGCCATGTCACAGATATTCGTTGGTATGTTATACCCTCCACCATAAGATAATTACACGGAGATAGTTTTTATCGACATAATTTTTATTCTGATCAAGAATATATATAATTTGTGGGTTCTCCGGTGAATATTTCGAGGTGTTTCAAACGGAATGACAAATTTAATATAGGGGAGACTGGGCACATTCGACACGTTTTTTAGAGCTCTATATCTCAGTACCTATTGAACAGATATACACTTTATGGCTGGTTATTTTCGTCTAATACTTAATTATAAAAATTAATACCAAAAACATATAATAAATTTTTACAGTTTTGTAAAAAAAGTCAAATTCGCCGAAAGTGTCCCTACCCGTGGTAGCTTCGGCATTTGATGGGGAACATTCGGCACCATAGTCATAAGAAGTACTTACGAAATGGAATGGAAATATTACAAATATTATATTCGATACCTATGTATCGAAGCTAGTGATGTACGGTGAGAGCTTCATATTGAAAACGCGACTGTCGAATGTGCCCCGATGCCTCAACCTTACCTACGCAACACCGCGAAATATCTACCAGAGACCTTACAAAGTATATATCGCCATCATAAATGCAAACGGACGTAACTACACTTTTACTAATTTTACAAGAGAAGCAAAAAACGTCATAAAATGGAGCATGGTTGGATTTTTTTTCTTTTTCAAAGTTTAACCGCACTATACACCCGCATTTATTTTTTGAAAAAAATTTAACTTATTTTAGTTTTTAAAGATTTCATGTCAGTCACGTCCTTTTGACATTATATTTTCTGAAACAAAAGGACGTAACTACAACACAATTGTAGTACAACAAAGTGACTAATAATAATAATTATAATAATAATAATAATTATCAGATTTATAGTTCCGAGCGACGCACTATGTCGCTAGTTCATATAAACAGCGGCCAAAAATAGAAGCAGTATTCGAAGTTAATAAAATTTGGTACATGTGTTTATTATTGGCCTAAAGAGCAACTAACAAAAAAGTGGATAGGTCGGACCAAGATTTGGTATACCTCCCATATAATGGGTCTTGAGAATGTCACGCTTTTTGGCCTATAAAATCTTTAATATTCAAACAAACTCAATGAAAATTGGCAATTTACATTTAATTAGGCCTATAAAGCAACTGACCAAAAACTGGGTAGATCGGACCAAGATTTGATATACCTCCCATACAAAGGGTCTTTAAAATTTTACTATTTTGG